ATCTGGGCACAAGTAAAACATGTGTTTTGATAAAGATCAAAAAATGTTGACAGTCACTGTCTATCCCAAGAATTTAACAAGGGACTATAGCTTAAGCAGTTTTAAAAATAGTCCTAAACTACTGTAATCAGGATGAAGTCATCACCATATTTGTGAACATTAAAAGATTTCAAAGTATCTTCTTGGAGTTTTGCAATGGTTTCCATGATGGGAAATTTCAAAATGTACATTTTTCTGTTACTGGAAGATCAAGGGTGACAATGCTGGGCATTGCTGGAGAAGGATCTCCACTGATGACTAGAGTTTCATCCTCCCTCCTTCCTTTCACCCTTCCTGGCTCCCTCCTGGGAAAACTGACAATGGCCAGAGCAGGTGGTTGAGGGTACTCTGAGGAAAGGCAGCTCTGGGTAGTTGTAAAGGTGGGGCCTTAGGCAAATGACCAGCTCTGGGGCATGGGGAAGTATCACTTCCTTTGCACTTCTTCCCTCAAGCCTCCTCCCTCTGGCTAGAGTTCTCTTTCAGTGACACAGCTTTCCCGTGGAAAGCAGAAGTGGTTCTCCCTCTCCAGGGGCCTCTCAAGGACCAGCTTCTCCATTCCCCTTAGCCCCATTGGGGGGGGGGTGGTGAACATTTACAGGAAGAGTGGGTCACCCACTCAGCAAGCAGCCATCATGGTGCCAGAAGGAGCCAGAGAGTAAAGGCAGATCCGTCTCTGCAGTCTCCTGTGGACAGATCCTGTCCTTGGACAGGGCTGCCAAGAGCAGCCCTATGAAATCAGTATAGCTCCCACCAGATGTTCTACCAATATAAAGAAAGGACAGCCAGTTTGCAAGGAGCTTCCAATCCGTGTGATTTGGTGTCAAGAAAGGGTGGCAAGAGAGATTTTAGGTGCTCACAGAGAGGTGAGAACGTGGGCCGCAAGGACAAGACATTTGACCTTGTCCGAAGCATGAAGTATAAAAACGGAAATGAGACAAGAAGACAAGAAGACTTCTTCCCCATGTTGTACAACTCAACAAAAGCAGAGCATCGATGGTTAGGAAACTGCCACTCACACTGGTTGTGTGATTTTATCCTCTTTTGTGTGGTTTTACGGGACATGACTTAGAGACCTCAGCGTTATGAACAGTGGGCACAGTTACAATAATGAGACTAACTTACATCACAAGAGCGTCCTTTCAGCTTAGGCCAAAGATGAGCGAGAGACGTGCAAGTCAAACTGGACTGCTACAAAATTTCTAATCCCATGATTTCTAATCCCATTTTCTGCACTCAGGATTCTCCCCTCAAATGGGAACTTACTCAAAATAAATTTTAGAAATGAAACTAGGAAACTAGGCAGCTGTAAGAAATGTTTCAGTGTTTCTGACTGGAAAAGAAAACCTTCCTCTTCTATGTCCTTGTCTTCATTATCAGTCTTGAAAGGTGGAAGGTAGTAAGTATCTATCATAGAAATATTGGCTTGGAATGGTGGCTGACACACAGACAGCCAGAACATGTGTTCGACTCTGCTTCCTATTGGGTCTATCTCCTAACTTCAAATTTCCACCTCAAATGATGCTTTCTTTGTTATAATTACCACACAAGGAGTCTGGGAGGGTTCATGCTGGAGGCACTTCCAGCAGAGGTGTAGGGAGACTTTTTGCCAAATATTCCTTGGGCACTTCTGTATCAAACATGTACCTAAATGGTCACCAAAGCAGTCACTAGAGCCACTTGGACAGCAGCCATATAGATGTCACCTCAGCAGCTTGGGGGACCTCCTACCATAGCCCCAAGCAAGAAGTAGTGCAGAAAAACACAGAAATTCATTTCCACAACACAGCCCAAGTGCCCAGTTTAATGGACAACTGCTTTCTCCTAAGCAGTTAGCCACTTAGTTCAGAGAACTACCATGTCATTAAAAAAGAAACTACTCCATGGTTCTCTAAATCTAAAATAATACGTTTAAATAATAAACTTGTTTCTTTGTTTTTAAGTAATTGAGTGCCTTACTTCAGATGCAAAGGTGGACAAGTGGGAACAGCCAGAAAACATACCTACTTGTCCAATGGTGCCACCTAGGCCTGTGACCTTGGATAAACCTTGCTTTGTGTATCTGTCCCACCCTATCCGATAGGGACTATGAGAGGTTCAAATGAAGTCAGGGTACAGAAATCCTGGACAAGCAAAAGATATAACACCATCAATGTGAAGCCCGCCCAGGAAAGATCAATGTGTCATTGACCAATGCCCTATCAATAACTGTAGTGACCCTCCAAGTTAATACTAATCCATGCATCCTAGGGACCATCGGTACCAGTGAGCTGTAACAATGTCCTATGCTGTGAGCACTGTATTCTTAGTTATAAAATTAGCAGAGACTTGTATATGAGGATATGGTTTCATTTCGCTAAGTTACAACCCTACATACTCATGGAAACCAACTAGAATCACAGATGTTTTGGTGATTTCTTTCCATATAAAAATGCAATCAGAACTAAAAGACTTTGAAAATCATTGATTCACAACTGTGCTGGAACATTTTTTCTGCTGAAAGGAAGCCACTAGAAGTGATGGTGGGATATTAGTCTTCATAAACGTTTTCAACATCAATGACTAAGATAAAGGTAGGCCAAACACCTTCACGGGGACCTCTTACTACTGCACGTCAAGACCTCGTCCAGTGACACACACAGAAAACTGGTTCCTGAGCTGAGATTTCCACTTAAAGAACTACAACTGTCAACAAGTCCCTCCCATCTCCATTACAGAAATGGCAGTAGGCTGCCCTATTGAGCCAGCCCTGTTTCTTCATCTCTGGATGTCCTTAGCAAGTCTTCCTTCCTTCTTCCAAAAATCCCCACCAAGCACCTATTATGCTCCAGGCACCAGGCTTTTTTTTGCCATGCTGTTGACATGTCATATCACTTCCATTATAGTGGCAAACACAATCTATAATCATGTGGACAAATCATAATTATAACTCTGGTTGCTGCCATGGAGGAAATGTTGGTTCATGAAATGGCCCAAGTGGCTTATCCAAAATCTCAGCTCTAATAAATGGTAAAGAAACCAATGCTCAGGTTTCCTGGCTCCTGTTTTCCCCTCCCTCATATCTATTTCCATCTGCCCTTCGCTAGAGGGTCAGACCATTTACCGCCAAAGAGGCTCTTGTGATCCAATTAAATTCCTTCAAGCCTCCAAAATGCTCATCTCCAAATGAGAACCTAAGATCCCACCCTTCCCAGTAGGGCTTCCCCTTACTTAGGCAGGACTTACTCCTGCCCCTGCATGGTAGAGCCTGGTCCCCAGCAATACTATAGGTTAGAGGTGTTGCCTGCACAGAGACATCCCTAGGGCCAGCTGGGGGCAGAGAACAAAGCAAAAGTCAAATATCTTAAGAGGCTAGTTCTTAGAGCGTGTTGCCCCTCTGGATGTATTTATTAAGCAAATTTAATAACAGTAAGGTCAGATAGCTAACTGAGACATGTCTTAGGTTTAAATTCACCAAACCGCAACGACCCTCGTTTTTATGGACAGAGTTCATTGCACTAAATAGTAACACCACCATTAACAGAATGGTAGTGTAGACTAGGAGCTTTCTGTGTAGTAAATAAAACTAGTAAAACCTAGCCCCTGGGATAGGTTCACACTCAAAGATGAAAAAACCCCAACAGGGAATTTCAATAATCAGGCTGCTTCCAAAAAAAAACCCCCCCTCCCCCCTGCCCCCCAAACCCCCCCCCTGCCCCCTGCCAAACCCCCCCCCTCCCTGCCCCTGAAACCCCCACAAAACCCCCCTCCCCCAACCAACCCACTGCCCCTGCCCCCCCCCCTGAATGCCCGAAACCCCCTGCCCCCCTGCCCCTCCCCTGCACCCCTGCCCACTCCACCCCTGCCCCCTGCCCCTGCCCTGCCCCCCTGCCCTCCCTCCCTGCCTGCTGACCCACCCTGACCCCCGCCCCCCTGAAGACTGGCAAAGGTCTACATTCCAACTTGGGATGTCTGAAAGGTGGCAAAGGAAGTTACCGTACTAGATTAGGATAATTGTGTGTGTGTGGTGTGTGTGTTGTGTTGAGGAGAGAGAGAGAGAGAGAGAACACAGAGAGACAGAGAGAGAGAGAGAGAGAGAGAGAGACAGAGAGACAGAGAGAGAGAGAGAGAGAAGAGAGAGAGAGAGAGAGAGAAGTGAATACACAAGCACAAGTCCACAGCGCAGTGGGAGTATTAGAAGGAGCATTACAAATGGAAAGCCACAGCCGGCCAAGACAACGTAGAAAGTGGGAACTGGCGCTTGCACCCTTCCCCCAACGCGAAGGAAAGGCAACCCTGAATTCTTAAAATAACTCTGGCTTCCTCTTGGCCAAGGCTTCACACTGCTCCGCTGGGCTGCAGGCAGAGAGGAGCCCGGCTCTGCGGGAGGGTGAGCAGCAGTCGCCTGCAGCCGCCCGACGTCACCATCCTTCCCCAGAGCCACCAAGGAGGGCAGCTGTCCGTCGGCCTGGGAAACTCGGGGCAGAAGCCCACTCCCCACCTCTAGGGGTCCAGGGCCCAGTGGGGAGACCAGATCTCTCAATCCAGAGTCCCTCGGGGACCTCCGCCGCGTGCCGGCTCCTCCTGGACAGAGGCTTCCCCGTGGCTCGCCCGGAGAGGCGGGAGCGGGGATAGCAGTCGGCCGCGGGCGGATGCCCGAGGGACAAGCGGTGCGCCCGCCCCCGCACCTCCCGCCACGCCCCTGCGCTGCTCCGCTGCGGACACCTGCGGAGCCGCCGCCCGTGCGTCCTTGCTCCGCAGCGCGGTCACCCCCAGGCTGAGGACACCTGGGTGCTTTCACCACTGGGGGCGGGCGCCGGGGTGGCCAGGAAACGGCGCGCGACCTCTGCTGTCGCGGCCGCGCCGAAGCCTCAGGTCCCGAGCCAACCCCGCTACCGGGGATCCAACCGGTGGCAGAGTCGGGGTCCCAGCCCCGTGTGCCCGGGTTCCCGCGCCCGCCTCCCGGCCTCAAGCTCAGAACTCACCCGCTCGCGGTGAAAGTTTCGGGGCGGCGGCGGAACTCCACGGTGACTTCAGTTCGAAGCTGGAGGCGCCACGGGACAGCCCAGCAGGGCCCTCCTGGGAAGGGGCTGCGGGCGGGGAACGCTGGACGCGTGACAAGGGGTTGCGGGCTCTAGGCCGGAGGTGGCGGCTGCCCCGCCTGCGGCGGACTGGAAGCTGCAGCGCGTCCGGCCCGGAGGCGCCACGGCCGGGGAGTGAGCGGCAGCGCGGCCCCGCACGGTGGGAGAGGAACTGGCTGTCGCTGGGCTAGACCGAGAGGTCCCAGCTACTTCCTGGTGCTCGGATTTGCATACTGCGCCCAGGGGGCGGGGAAGTGACCGTTTGATTCCTGTCCAAGGTTTGGTATTTGATGTGGCCCTCGCGCAGGCTTTGCAAGCAAAGAAACCTGGCGACCCCGGTGTGCAGGTTGGGAGAGTGAGGCAGCCGTGGAATGGACGGAAGATCTCAGGATTCGAGGGACCGTGAAACTTCGCTCATCTCCTTTCCTTCCCTTCGGACCTAACTCCTCAAGGTGTTAGAAGTGCGGTGGTCCTGGAAGCAGAGGGGGCACGCTCTGACCCCTCCCAACATTTGGAGTTCTCTAGAAAGATGATGAGCCGAGTTGGTGTCCAGGGATTCGAGCGTTCTCACCATTCAATGCAAAGTTAGGTTCCTTACGGATGTACACTCACATGCTAAGGACATTTATTTGGGGACAAGGTGAAGTGCGAAGGATGGCTGTGGAGTTAAATAGCCTGGCAAGTACTCAGACTTTCTCAAAGCCTCTGTTTCCTCCCTGGAAAATGGAGATAAAGATGTCCAACTCCATGAAATTCCTTCTCTCAGGTCTCACACTGCCTGCAGCAACGGTGGCTGTTATTTCATTCCTCCTATCTCAGCGCCACCTGCAATAGCACAGCACTTGGCACGTAGCAGGTGCCTAACCAGTGCTTACTGAAAGACTTGCAAGTTCAAGCTCATGTTGAACCTTGATAAATGCCACTTGCACATCCACACTGTAGTCTCAGTCACTGTGGATGCCCACTTGTTCTAAGCTGACTTGTTTCCTGGGATGCCAGTGTTGGAGTAGCCTGTAGAATTTACAAGGAAATGAGTGAGACAGTGCAGGACACTCACCTTTGTGTTGATAATAGCAAACACGCAGAAGGACTGAGTGATGGGGCCAGACACTGCTCTAAACACCTGCATTCTTTTATTAACATTCTTAAGAAGCTGGCCCCAGCTACGGTCCAACAGGGCAGAGAAGCCACCTTATAACAAAATCCAAAATAGCAGTCATCTGTTACTAGTAAAGGACTGCTGAGGTTTACAAACAGCAGACGTGGGCTGCAGAATATTTCTGTCAACCACAGGCCACATATATGCAGATGGTCCTATAAGATTTTAATGGAGCTGAAAATTTCCTATCACCTGGTGGCATCAGAGTCTCATCAATATTGTAGTGCAAAGCAGTGCTCAGGTGTTTATGGTGATACAGGTGTCAAAAAAATCGAAGGAACTGCTGGTAGCATATTTACTGCACTAGTTGTCATTATTTTAAAGCATACTTTTTTTTTTTACTTAGAAAATGAAGTTTACTGTAAATGAGTGTGCCAGGCTAGCCTTATCTGTTTTGTGTTTACCATGTCTCTTGTATCAGGAAGCACGTGGAGTGACCTAAACCATTTAGGTTTGAGTGAGTGCACTCCGTGGTATTTACACTAAAACAAAATGGCATAATAATGCACTTTTCAGAATGTGTCCCCATCATTAAGCCATATATGATTATATTTCCTTGAAAGACACAAAGTAGGGTCGTTACTCCTAAAATGTTCACTGGTATGCCATTAGTTTCCTGCTACAGATGGTGGGTTACCTTGGGAAGGCGTCGAGCATATAGGTTTTATCTGTCACAAATCCTATAGAACAATTCAATACCTGAGGCTCCATTTGGTGGACTTTTCTTCAGAATGACCTCTCAAATATATTAACACTAAATATCAGTAAGTCCTTAAATCCTGGCTAAAGACATGTGACACATAAAAGTAGGATACCAAACCAGGCATCCCACATAATCCCAGCATTTAGGAAGTGGAGACAGGAGGATCCGAGTTTGAGGACAACCTGGCCTACATAGCAAGACATAGCTAAAAAAAAAGAATAAGTTAATAGGAAGGATACAAATTTACAAATTTGGGCATTGGCTAATCAACCGGAATGTCCTGTGTTTTTAGTAAAATATCTGTTGGCGTTAGGAACAAGCATGACCAGCATATCGGGCTTGCAGTGGCCCTTTACTGTAACTTCACCCACACAAGCATCTTGCTAAGTCTATTGCTTTATTCCTATTTGGAAATAACTATTGCCCTTCCCTTTCTCAGGCTGTATTCAATATCCTGAATACTTCTTTCACCTGCTCTCCACATCTGTCTTTCCTCCTTAAGGAGCAATGAAAGTTCCATTTCTCAGGAAAGCTTTCTTTAAAGTTGTCATCGGTATTGTTCTTTCCTACACATCTTTAGCACTTACTGTGTGCAGTTGACTTCAACCACACCTTGGTTCAGTACTTTGGCGGTGCTTGCCTCTGTTTCCCTTGTTAGCCTTCTCTCTTCAACTACTGGTAAACAGTAAACTCCTTTTTAGAAGGCACTAATTCTTATTTTATCTGTTTCCAAAAGGTCTGTAGGGTGCTTTAAAATTCATTGTTAGTACTGATTGATGGGTTAATTGATTGACTTTATTTCTAAAGTGAACCAAGATGGGGATGATGAGGATAGGTTGCAATCAACAAAGATTGCCATGGCACGTAGGCAGACTTTGAACAAGGAAAGAATGTGACTGATAGGAAGAGAAGGAAGTTGTGGAAATACATCAGGTACAGATAGTGTATTTTTATAGATACCGTATTGGCAAGTTCAACAACTTGCTAAAATTTATGTATAGCTCTGAAATAAACACTTGGGGTGCTTTTCAATACCCCAAGTATGTCATTTGTAGACATATAGATCACACAGCAGTGAAAATTTTGGAGTCTTCCAACACACACACTCCCAGCTGAGGCAAACAAGCTGACCCTTTGCCTTGTGGCTTCCACTCTTACATGTAAACAGTGTCCTTTTTCCAGTCTATTTAGTGCTGTTTTCCACATTTTTTTGTGCATGTTTTGTTTTTCAAGACAGAGTCTCGCTATGTGGTCAAGGATATCTTCGAACATGTGATCTTCCTGCCTCAGCCTCCCAAGTACTTGGATTACAGGAGCACACCACCATACCAGGCCAATTTTTGAGCTTTTTAATTGGTGATTTCATTGTTTAAAATGGTCCCTTACTATTGCACTGAAGTTCTATCCAGTGTTTCCATGCATAAGAGACTGTGATGTGCCCTGTGGGGAAAAAGTATGAGTGTTGGATAAACGTCCCTCAGGCATGAAACATAGTGCTATTGGCCATGAGCTCAGTGTTTGTAAGCTGGCAATTTAGGAAGGTGTTGTTAAACAGAAACACACATCAAACAAGGTTATGTTGTGATCGATTGAGAAAACGTGACCAGAGACTCATAAGAACCTAACCTTCTATTTCCCTCTATGAGCAATGGCTCGGTATCCTATAAGTTGTTCCAAGTAACTTTATAGAACATATCTACCAGAAATTGGGAAAATTGCCCGCATACAAGAGTATACCCCCTCCTGCAAAAAAAGCAAAAATTGTACCCAATATCCATTGATAGGAAAATGAAAATGAAATGTCTGTCCTCAAGGAACAATTTTTTTTTCTTTTTTGGCTGTACTGGGGTTTGAACTTAGGCTTGGAGCTTGTTAGGCAGGTGCTCTACCACTTGAGCTGTGCCTCCAGCGCAAGGAACTCTTTTTTTAGCCCAGGCCATCATCATCACATGCCTGATCACGGCACTCCCCACTGATTGGGCATCCTTGGTTCAACCTTCACAGCGTACATCAGCCAGTCTCGCTGCTGTGGCATGACTATCCTTAGGGCCCCATTCACTCTGCTGGGAGCTTCCCTTCAGGGGTCCGGATTCCTGAGCCAAACACAGGTACTGTTACAGGACTGTTTGCACAAGTTAAGTCCCTGTTTGGTTTTTTTGGACAGGGGCAGTAATGGACATTAACACTCTTTCTCTGACTCTTGCAAATAGGGCCTCAGACCCAACTGGCCCAAGTAGCAATATTAGAGCAGTGTGCTCAACCCTGGTGGCAGGTGAAAAACACATAAAATTACTAGAATAGCCCTATGGCTGGTCTCTGTGCAGACCAATGAACTCTTCCCATGTGTGTGTGTGGCGGAGGAGAACCCCATCGTCAGACATGCTCAAGGTCCCCACGTGTTCCAATGAGCAGCCAAGATTAGGAACCACGGAGAGGAGACTCAACCAGACATCCTGAGAGAGTATGGAGAATATTTGCCAAACAAATGAGTTTCTGTATATCATCAATTTTCCTAACAAACATAGCAGAAGCCTTCTTGTTCAAAGCATTGGTGACTAATAAGTTGAAAAGTTGCTTAAAGTGGAGAAATCCTTAAAATGATGCAAATATGTCTTAAGTATTTTGCTTGAACTTTAGACTACAGTGTGTCCATTCATTGTCAATGTTTCTGTGAGGCCCAGGTGTTCTCTCTGAGCATGAATCCCTTTCTAGCATTCTGCATCATTTTTGTTACCTAGACCACTGCCCATGATTCATCATCTCTGACTTCTGATTCCAGCTTCACTGAAGCCGAGGAAGGACCTGCAATGCTTCTCTCTGCACAGACCCTTGTCTTTATGGCTGCTTCATCCACAACTAATTCAGCACAATTATTTGCATTTACTGTTTTACCTGTGACTGTTTCCAAATCCAAATATTCAACTTAGTTTTACATAGAAAGAGCTTTTACCTCATATTTTTAAGTCGCTATCTTAATCAAATTGCCTATTGGCAATCCAGACACAATTGACATAAAAACAACTGGCTTTTGGGAAAACATGTCCTAAAGAGAAGAGGATTTGCTTTGCTAGAAGGACGAACAGTGTTTTACAAAAGGAAACGGGACTGTTGGTTCATCCAGAGTTTATCGGGAAGAAGTTGATCTCTGAGGCTTTTTCTCATAACCACCATCATCGAGATCCTGGGAAGGTCGTTTTATGTAAAAGCCTCCTACGTAATCCTCACAGCCACATTCTATTTCCTACATTCCATAGATAAGAAGCCTCAGAAAGGGTAAGTGACTTGTCCAGATTCACCTTGCTAAAGTAAACAGGTTGGATTTGAACTCTGTTCAAATGCCTGACTGACATCAAAGGTTCAATCACAATGCTTTTACAAAATTTGGCTTTCTCTGCCCAAAATGCCACAGAAACAGCACAGTATTCCTGAAGGCATTTGGGCCGAAGTCTAGCTCAAGTCCTCCTCATTCCTTTGGCATTATAAAGGAATAAACAAGCTATCTGAACAATTATTAAAGCTGAGCCGTGTAATAACGACAATGACACCAATTACATAATTATAGTTTGAAGCTTACTAAATTTAAACAAAGTTAATCTGTCATGCTATGACACACAAAATTATGCTGCATGATAAT